ACAGGTATGGAGGTGGCAGTGTTCTCGTTTGGAGAGGCATCATCCTTGGTAGTCTTACAGACCTTCACATCTTCGACACAGGTTCAGTCAACGGGACCCGTTATTGTAATGAGATTCTTCTTCCATATGTGCGTCTTTTTACAGGCGCTATGGGTCTGCAGTTCCTTTTCATGGACGACAATGCACCATGTCATCGCACAGTAGCCCCCGAACAGCTCTTAGAGAGTGAGGATATTGAACGTATGGATTGGCTGGCATGTTCTCCGGATCTCAATCCCATCGAGCATGTATGGAATTTTCTAGGCAGACTCTTGGCGCCTCGTAAACGATTCCGGAGCTTCGATTGGCGCTGCAAGACGAATGGGCAGCAATGTCTCAACAACTCATTGACACCCTCATTCTCAGCATGGGCAGACGCTGTGAAACCTGCCTAGCAGTCAGGGGAGATCATATCCCCTATTAAAGGCCGGATGTTTCTTGCTGGACACCCATCACAGGGATGTTTCTGCCTTCAGTCGCATTGCGCTCCGTGCTACTTTTTCAATAAAGCTTCTTTTTATCCCCCTGATTTCTCTTTTAGTAAGTGTTGCTTACATTACTCATGTCCTTACGTATTGGGGATATTACGGTATTAAATGTGTTGATTTGGAGAGCTTTTGTACAAAGTTATATTGAAAAAACCGTCTCATCCTTAATTTTTGCACACCAGTGTATGTTATGCATCTCCGGCATATGCAAGCGCTATTGAAGGAAATATTCTTAGGCTCCAAAAAAGTAATTCAAGATCTTGATCTGAGAATAACCACGAACTCTGATATCCACATTGTTGATCAAGACTGAAGGGTATTGACAGGAATGAAACTTGTTCATTGAACAGTGATTAAAATCAGTTTGTTCAGAAGCATTATTCTGTATAAATTGTCTTGCCATTTTTATCAATTGATTATCTCAAAATAGTAAAGTCAAACTGGATGTATGATCATCTCTGACAAAAATGGCAATCTCACATCCTGATATTTTAAAATTTACCAATTTACTAAAATCCTGAATAGAAATATTTAAAATTTTTTTTTGTCAATTGCACAATCTATTGGCATATTGCACACATAAAAAATATTGAACTAAAAATTGGTTACCATTTTAATTATCAAATTTTAAGTTATAATATTTTAATCCTAAAATTTAGTGTGAAATTTGGGCCTGTTTAAGAGAGATCAGTTTCTTTATGTCTGGTATTATTTTCGCTTAGTTTTAACCACAAGTTCGGATCCACTTTTAATTTCATCTTGCATTTATTTTTCAAATATAACATGGGAAAAAAAATCCTTGTTCGCACAAAACAAAAAGGCAATAAAAATTTAATAACTTTATTTGAAATGCCGTTAAATCCTTTTTTTCGGTTCAGCCTGAAGTTATGAAATTTTTTTTTTTTTTTTTTTTTAATATATCTTCTGTTAGATTTCGATCACAGAAAATTTCTAACATTCCCCCCCCCCTTCATGAGATAAAATTTCAGGTACATTTGAACAAAATGGATTTCGAATCTAATTTACTTTTTCATAATCCTTGGGAAAATACATGTTGAAATTATTTATCAGTGAAAAAGAGTTTTATGTCTGATGAAGGATTCCTTTATTTTCAAATTATTTTCGGTTAGAAAACTTTTTAAAAGGTTGAAAAAGCTTAAAATATTATTATCCAATGCTTTGATTGTAGAGTCATTAGGTTAATTGGAAGCAGAAAAGATGAAAAATTAGCAACCGCCTTCGCCAGGAATCGAACCACAGACCTCTGGAATACCGGCCCAGCGTGCTACCGTTACACCACGAAGGCACGCTAGGGAAGTGGGAGAAATACCTTATATACTCCCCTTTTTAAAGGGCGACTAGCGTTTTAGGGTACCTAGTCGCCAAATCCTGTGTGCGGAGAATCATCATCCACAACCCTTTTAGTTCGGGCGCCACTGTAGAGTCATTGGAATTTTTTTAGAGGCAGAAAAGATGAAAAATTAGCAACCGCCTTCGCCGGGAATCGAACGACGGACTTCTGGAGTACCGGCCCAGCGTGCTACCGTTACACCACGAAGGCACGCTAGGGAAGTGGGAGAAATACCTTATATGATTAGCTCGAGTTTTTTTTATCATTGCATTTAGGTAAACACATTTTAACAATTTGTCCTTGTAATCCTAAATTAAATTCATTTAACTTTCCAAAAATATCAATGGCAATTCTTAGGCTTACTAGGTAACTAGCTTCCAAAGTTTTTTCACTTTGTCCTTGTAATCCTAAATTCAGTTCATTTAACTTTCCAAAAATATCAGTGGCAATTCTTAGGCTTACTAGGTAACTAGCTTCCAAAGTTTTTTTCACTTTGTCCTTGTAATCCTAAATTCAGTTCATTTAACTTTCCAAAAATATCAGTGGCAATTCTTAGGCTTACTAGGTAACTAGCTTCCAAAGTTTTTTTCACTTAAAGTAACAAAAACCTTTCATTACTTGTTTGCTATTTTTGAACTCCGATAATTTCCTCTTAAAATATTCTTCAGATTTATCCTTTAAACTGGAATGCTTAGATACAAGATGTCTTTTAAGAAAAGTCTCTGCAAAGTTCTCTGCACATTCAGCAAAATATCGATAATAGTCGATTGAGGGCCGGCACCACTTCTGTTCGTATGCGCCGATCTATGGATTCTGCAGTACGTCTAGATAGGTATTCTGGTGTTTCGCCACTATTTCCATCAACGATTCATCTAGACCAAATTCTATGCATAGTGGATACATCTACGTGCGTTTCAGCAGCGATACGAAGGTAAGACCAATCAGCCGTTCGTAAACCTACAATTTCAGGCTCTCGTAAAATCGTCCGTTTGCCGGAACTGCCTATGGTGTCATCGTCTACGCATCTTTCTTTTCATTCAAAATTCGTATCTTCTGTCGTTTCTTTTCCCTTTTATCTCGCGTTATAATCATGTGACCAACTTGCATCTTATATCATCTGCATGACTTGTTCCGCTACGTATTTCCCGAAATTTATATTTTTATATTGCTGAATCTTCATGGTGTTGCGTTTTCTATGTCGGGCAGTGTATAATAATAAACTTAAAGTATCTAACAATCGTTTGCGACTGGCATTTCTGAATGTAAATATAAGTGTGTGCAGAGTAAAATTTCTTATTTGAACCGAGACGTAGATCATTATGATGCAGCAAGTTGTGGATATCTAATTTAGCGCTTTGAATACGAACTTTCGAAAACAAATTGGAATTTTTGATTTTTCTTCAGCACTGTCATCTGACGCCTTAGCGCTTTCAGGTGTTCAGATAGGATCGCTTAAGTGAGACTAAGAACATTTTGTGTTTAATATGTGCTAAGTATCGCTAAGCTTTTATATAAATGTAAATGGTAAAGGCGCTATTTGCTTCTTCCCATCTCAGTTTTATAAAAGAAATTTTAAAATGATAAGCGAAAAAGTGTAAGATAATCTCAAAATTGTAAAAAAGAATTATTTTGTTGATTGAGAAGCATTTTTCATTCAAACATGCTAATTAAAAAGTAGACCGAAGAAATATCAGGCGATAATCTAAAATAATATTAACAATAATTCGAAAATATGAATTTTTGTTTTCCTTAAGAAAGTAGCACATTATAAATATAAAAAGAATGTGATATGAGATTATATATATATAAGATGTCCCCAGAAAATATATATAGGAAGCATTCATCCATATTTGTAGCATAGTATATATTAAACGCATTATTTTTCTAAAAAAGTGTTCAATTTTATGTTATGCTTATAATGAAATTAATAGTTCAAAATTTTCTCGTTACCATTAAAATGTAAAGTGCACAAAAACGCTATATGATTATTATAATGTTCACTTAACTATATTATTCATTTTTTATATAAGAACTGACGTAAAAATATGAATTCATTGAAAACATTTCTTTAGTGCAATGTAATTGAATATTTCGTCGACTTTTACATATTTTCTACTTAAAATAACTTCGTTTGAAGCTGAATGTCTAACGTTTGTTGAGTATACATCGTATGAAATTAATTTGTAATTAAAAGTTCAATAAACAAGAAATATTAGAAATAGTTACTACGTGTGATATATTTTCTTTGAGTGAGTCATTTGAAAACCATCATAAATTAAAAAAAGTATTCAATATTTTAAACTCGTATTGCTACAAACTGATATGAATGATCGATATTGTGTATAGTTTTCCTTCACAGCATTCGCAATAGTAGTTATGCTTCTGCTGATGTGTATTTATTAATAATGCTATCAAAGTTTCTTAATTGAATAGTTAACTGCGGTAAGAATTATGGCCTTTTACAAGAAATCAGGAAATTCCAAATCAGAAATGTAAACATTATTTTAATACAAAGGAAAATCTACCTTGATAATTGCTGTTGACTCATCTCTTCTTCAGAAAGTAGAATCCCCAAACTTCCTACCTATTTAGATTGGTGTTGTTTTGGTAGAAAAATTATAAATTGAAGATTCAGATTAAATCAGAATGAATTTGTTGTTTCATAAAAGTTGTATTCAGAATCTGGAATCATTAGTGGTTCAGTGTAAATATGTAGGGACAAATTTTTTGTTCCTTAAAAATTGCAATCAAATAACTTAGATAGGAAGAGAAAAAAAAAAATTCAGCAGAATTTTGTCACTGCTTAAGGTAACAGCAGAAAAAATGTGGCATTATTTAGGTGACATGTCTGTTTTGATTGATACACATAATTCTTTATAGGATTAGAAATTAACAAAAATCTACACATAAACAAGAATAATAAGATACAGTGAAACCGCCCTAAGACGCCCATCCATACGAATTTATTGTTCTACCTTAGAGAATAATTTTATATTTATGTTAAATGCCATTATTTAATTATGTTCTTAACAGGTGGTCGCTGTGAGAGGTTTCAATGTATTAAAAAAAAATGCTTTTACGATGAAGGGCTCTAATCGTTTAAAAAAAATAGAAAACAAATGTAGAAATAAAATCGTAACTTTATATTTTGATTCTGAAAAGAAATTTTACACGTTACCTTTTTTAAATGAGCTTGTAACTTTTTTTTATAAATATGCACATAATCGTACATATTTATGTCACAGATACCTAGACTTAACAATCGCTAAAATGCAAATAAAGTTTCTAATTTACAACAATATCTTTTTTAAAAAATGTATTTACAGAATCAATGAAAATAATAAAATTGAATATCTTTATAATTATAATTTCTCATCATAAAAATACGATAGTATTACAGTAGATTTTAATAAAACCATTAAGTTTATGATAAATAAAGTAAGGCTGAAGGATTCTTACATCTTTATTTAAGGACTGTATTAGTAAGAAATTATATTGAGTCCTTTTTATATAACGGTGATAATGATTTCTTAAATGTGCATCTTATTTTTGTATTAGGCTTAGTAGGCAGTTAGTAATGACAAAAGATTAAACAAACGGGAAATTGCATTTTTTCCTACTTCGCTCAAAGCCGTTGCATCCACAATGATCCTTTTCTATGTATTATCATGAATGCTATTTGCGTGGTATTAAAGCATAGAAATGATCCTCATTGCAGTTGGTGAACATAGAATATTTTGTATCTTATGATATTAAATTATAAAACTGGAATTTTCTAATATAAAATAATTCCACAATTTATTATTTCATTATTTAAAAAACTGATGTATGAAGTATAAATTTCGCTATATTAGAAAAATAATTTTTCCAAGAAATTATACTTTAACAGATTTATAACACTGTTTATAAATATTTATTTTATAAACTGATGTAAATACTAAATTTTATTTCTTTTGCATTGCTACACATTTTCAGTATATTTATTTTTCATTGCCATAAACTTATTATTCTAATTTTTTATAATTTTGTAAATATTTTTTCTGTTCTTATATATTGCTGTGAATATATAAGTTTACATACCTTTTGTTTTATATTTATATATATGATTGTTCTGATATGTTTTAAGCAAAGAAATATTGCGTATATAACTGGCTTATAAGCGATTAAGTACGTAAAAGTTGATGCTAATAACCGTTATGGAAGTAAAGTTGAGAGGTTTGGAACTCACTGACAATTTGATGACACATGGTGCAGGATTCAGCAGAATATAGCCGCATTTTCGAAATATTTCGATATTTTGGTTTGGTGCAAATGGCAAAAGCTGATAGGACGTTTCCTAGCTTTCTTTTTTGTAGGAAATCTAATCTTTTGTAGGATTATCTTAAGGAAGCCGAATGCCTATTAGCACTCCGTTGGAGAGTTTATAAAATTGTTCTTGAATTTAATAAATGGGTTTGCATTTTTACTGTGTGATTTTTAACGTAGCTTCTGTCATTGGACATTCGATATTTTAATATTTTTTACAGTACTTTTGACTTTAGAATTTCCGATTTATAACTGAAATTACACCTGTTCTATCCAAGATTTCCGTGTTGTTTCTTCAACGACATTGAAGCTATCTCAGTTTTTCAAAGCTTTAAGATTTTCCTAGCACTGGATTTATCATTTAATCAATCAAGAACGAAGTATCTGAGAAAAGAAAAATCTTATTATTCATTTCATTAATAATTTCTTCCGTACCTGTTTTATTCACAAAAAGATATTCCAGTTCTTCCAAATATTTTATAACTGAAAACTTAACTATAAATCATTCTTTCTATTGATAATGTAGTTTTTTTTTAATTTAGATATTTTCTAGTAATGTAAAGCTATATTTTTATGTGATTGTTCATAAAATTGCTTCAAAAGTTTTGACAGTCAAACAGAACACAATTGAATATTTAATTTGCTTTAAAAATTAATATTCATTTTAAATTTATTTATAGAAATGAATTTATTAAATGTGTATCACAATAAGGAAATTTACACAATAAGTAAATTCAGTTTATTCATTTTTAATTTAATAAACGAAAATTTTATTTAGTAATCCAAAATATAAAATGTTGCTTAAATATCAAATGTATACCAAAATATCCGTAACGTTTTAATTTATACAACGGAAAAACAAATCATTCCGTCATAATATTGGTATTGCATTTTTAAAATTAGCTTTTAAATAAAATCTTATGAAAAAATAGTTAAAAAAATTTTTAAAATTAAGAATATTTACGATTCTCTGTCACATATTCCTCCAGTGTTACTATATTTAGATGAAAATTTCTTCCATATACCTTATAAGTTGTGTACAAAAACAAAGCAGTTACTTCTTAAAATTGTAAATGCCATTATAAAGAAAGTTATTAATATGAATTAGTGTGAGAATTCACTTCATGAACAAGGATTTACATATAATTCAGCTTTCTTCTTCTCTTTTTACAGTTTTATCCTAAGAAACGTGAAATATTAAATAAATTAACTTTTAGCCATTAATATAAGAAAATCGATTTTTCTATATTTTGAGTCACTTTGTCTGGAGTGAACAAATGACCTAGAAAATAAAACAGGAAAATATTTTTTTAAAACTTTTTTTCAAAATTAATTTTTAACTAATTAAAATTTTTAAAATTAATATAAATTATTTTTAATTTAATTTTAACTATTTTTTAACTAATTTTTTAACTCTAATGTGTTAATGAAGATTTGTTTCATTTTTCCTTATAATTAATAGAAAAACAGGAATTCTATTTATTTACATTAAAGTTTTTAGTAGACTCCTAAAATCAGGAAGGAAAGTGGATTCCACCATTGCAAAAATCCTTTCTTTTTATTTTAAAGGTATATTGAAAATTTTTGAATTACAGTTATTAAAATTTAACATTATTAAATTGAATTTAAAATATTAAGACATGGATAATTTTGTAAGATACACACGAATTTTTTGTATACTTCAGGTACATTTATTTTGTAATTAAAAAAAATAACTCCCAAAACTACAACTGTTTATTAGCTTTTGATGTACTGATAAAGAGATAATAACAATGACGCTGTTAAACAATGAGACCTTTAGAGGAATAATGCTTACTGATTATCTGTTGCAGAAGAAGGTAAACAGGATTAAACTATTTAAGATTACTTCTGAAGTGGCTACCGTATAGCTGCATTGTATATAAAAGTTTCAAGCATATTTTAAAACACAACATTAAGATATAAGTATATTTGACTTGAAGGACCAGTGTGGAAGCTAAGGCTTCTGCGGCTGCTGTTTAGGCTTCTGTGTATATATACACATAAAGCACAAGACTTCCGTTCTCTTTTTTTCCAGTTATAATTTCAATTGCTCTTATACTTTCATTTGCAATTAGACCAACAGGCGAGAAAAAACTTTTCTGTAAGTCGTAGATAATTTGATTACACGAATATTGAAACTTATATCTTTTCTCTCGTACATTTTTGAAGTGATGAAATATTTTTGATTGACACTAAACTTCTACAAATATGAAAATGTTATTGAAAATTCTAGTAACAATACTATTACTATTAAACATGAGTAAATTCAAAAGTGAATTCTTAACAAATTAATTCTAAATTCTCCATAAAAATTTGTGCATAGTTTTTCTTTAGACACTTTCTATGTTGTCATTATTAAGCAATATCAGTATATTCAGTATTTGAGCTGCCATTTTAAGATGAACGTTCTAAGAGATGAAGCCTCCATACTTTTTCTATTTCAAATTATAGTTATATATATGTATAGAAATGAAATGCACATTTTTAATAATAATTTCTGAAAAATACCTCATTCAGATTCATTTAAAAATATTTTTTAGATTTAAATAATATTTTAGGCTGTTTGAAATTTGTAATTTGAAGGTTTCTTTACCAGATAATCATATCATTGTCACGAGCAATTATACATGACCAATTCATGAGCATTATTAATCAACTAATATACATTTATATGCATCAACATATGAATGTTTTGAACAAAATACATTAGTAAACATGTTTTGTATGCTGGAATAGAATTTCGAATAGACTTTCAGTTGATATAATATAACATGTAATCTTATTTATTAACAAGTGAAAACTCGATAAATATATATTTTTGTTCAACATTTTCAATCAGATATGTAAGCGCCTTTTTCTTTTGAACATTGAAAAAAGTAATTGTTATTCAGAACACCACAAAAACATTGACAACAATATTTATCAGAAATGAATATCCATAAAAATTACTACGATTTTATTCCATAAGAACATCATTCGCAACGCCGAACACTGATGCCCTATTCGGTTTAAATCGTTCTCGAAAGTTCTTTTCTTTTAAAATATTGAAATTTAAGTAATATCTGTAATAAAAAAGTCGAAAGATGGAATTTTATAAATAATGATTGACCAGACGCCCAGACGATTGACCAGATGGAATTTTATAAATAATGATTGACCAGATGCCCTGCCGGACGTATTAAAATTTCAGTTATATATACAATTTTCAATTAATTTTCTATTAGATTTGCAGAAAAATATAACATCATTTCTTTTTAACTCAAATTTAAGACTTTTAAATTTAGTATAGAAATAATAGTACGCTTAAATTCAAAATTATTTGCATTTCATTGTGATAACTTAAAAATTTAAAGTGGATAACTGAATGTTGATATTTTATTTCAAATATCTTGAAAAAGATTTGTTTCAAATATCTTGAAGGAATCGTATGAATTTAAATATATTTTGACAAACTTTCAAAATAATTTGAAATGCACCTGACAGAAGTTAATAACTACGAGTGAATTAAAGGCATTTCTCTCACTGAAAAGGAAACATAACTCTAAAACAGTTTATGAATCTGAGATAGGCCGTAGAAAATCGAATAAAAGATAACAGTAAGTATTAATAAAAATAAAATTTTATGACACGTATTTTTTAAATAAGGAACTGTGATTTGAGCATTGAACTTCAATGAATATTAATGATGTTAGATTTTTATAAACAGATATGTAATTACTTTCGATCAGACTGTATATATGCTCACGATTAGTCGTTCTCAAAATTCCATTAAAAATAATTTAATGAGCGAATTTCTTCTACTATGCATCCCAGAAAATCATAATATTAACACAACCTTTCTTTACGTGCATTTCAAGGAACTAATTAGAACAACTTAGGCAGAGCAGAGTTCGGCGTAGCTTCACATTAAAATTTCAATGAAATGCAACCAATAACATTGCGTGTGTATAGAAATTTTGAGTTTGTTCATAAAAGTTTGTTTTTCTGACTAGTAAGAAATCATAATCTAATTTCATTGAGCCTTCAACAGAGATCACCTAGACGGATCTTCTGTTACAGCAGCAGTCGAAGCATCGAACAAATGTCTACTTATAAACAAGAGGGCTAAAATCCTTTTACAGACAACATATTAGTAGAGGGAGTTTTTCTGTACAATAACATCTAGCGCGGCAGCAGAAGGTAAATTTCTAAACGTTAGAATTATCAATATACACGACGCTCCGTTTAGCTAATCGGCGTAGAGGTCTTGACATGAAACAAGGACCTCGACTTGACTTCTGGACGCGACTTTATTATTGATTGTGACCCTCTTCGCCGAACATCTTCGTCGACAAATGCAGGAAGAAGCAATATTTTTAAATTATTAATTTGAAACATTTTTATTAGAAAATACTAACCGTAGAAAACACAGAATTTTTGGCATTCGTCATGACGATAAACATCATCTCCAAGAACTGACAATTGTTTATCGCTTGCCTTAGAGATATATACATTTTTAATGCTACATAACTGACCACAATAAAACGTAAAACTGTCACTTGCGAAGTAATCGGTTGAAGAAGATAAACTAAATATCTTAGAATTTGCATCTGCTTTTGATGGAAGTTTCGAACATTGAATATATGCTGCAAAGGAGTGTGCCAACTTTGAATTTTCAATATTTTTGAAAAAAAAAAAAAAAAAAAAAAAAAAAAATGCGTACGATTTTCTCATTTTAAAATGTATAATAATAAAAAAATTAGCTAAATTGTTGCTGGTAAGCAAATAAAAATATATAAATTGTAACGATATTTGACGACGCAGTGCCATTTGGCAATTGCCCCGAATTTCAAAATCCTATTTTTCGAGCTCCCAAATGATCGATTCTCAGAACACAATTGTAAAAGAATAAACTAATAAGATGCTTGCAGAATCTTAATTTGCATTCGTAACGTGTGTGTTAAGAATTTTAAAACGCAATAAGATTTGGCTATCTGCTAGGAAATAATAAGAAAATACTAATAGAGTGGGAAATTTTTAAAGTGAAATATTAATTACAGATTTTTAAATTTTTAAAACTTAATAACGGTTGTACGAATTGTAGAAAGCAAAAGGTGTAATAAATATCAAAATTAAACGAAAATTTGCTCAGGATTTGACCTAGTAAGTCCACTTTACATTTTTATTTATATACATTCGCTGTTCAGACACGTTTTAGACGATTTTTCTTTGCTATTAAATAAACGATCAACTGCTTGGAAATCGTCTTTTTAACTGCAAATATATGTTTTTTTAACTGCGTTATATTTTTAAAAGTATAAATTATTGTTTGCTACAGGACAGTTTTGTTTTCAGACAAAATAGCACATTTAAAGAAGCAATGGATGGAAGGCTATTATTTGTGCTTTTTTCTAACGAAATTATTCGTATCTAGTTATTAAAAAATAACGTGAAAGCCATGGATTTTTTATATATAAAGCTAAGATAAGTAATACTGTCAACAAGAAAGAGAAAAAAGTCGAGGGTTTGGCTTCGAGGAGAAAAGTTGTTCCAAACATATATATATTAAAAAAAAAAGAATGTTGCAAAGGTAATGCTGAAAGAAAATCTCCCAAGTCAAAACAAAATCATTAAAATGCTCAACGTCAACTAGAAACAAAGTAAGTAATGTCTATTTGAATCTCAAAAAGGCGAAAAAACATAATGTGCATCGTCTTTCAGCGCGACATATCTCCGAACGCAGAACGCGCTGCAGAATTCTTTATGAGAAACATTTATCTGGATTAAAATGGAAAAAATGTTGCCACAACAGATGAAACTTGGATGTATTTAAATGACTATCAACAAAGAGGAAAAAAAAAAAATTCTTAAAAATGGCTAAAAAATTCTAAAGAATGTTTTTCAAAGGAATAGGATTGTTTCTGGTTTTTCATATAACGGTATAGAAATGCTGAGATCAATTCCGTTTGTTATTAGAACATATTTTATATCCAGTTTTAAAGTATGAAATACCTCCTGTTTACCCACAGTGCCATCAATCAGTAGAACTGCATTAAGACAAAGCAAGCAACCACACGTCAAAATCCACTGTAATTTCCTGGAAAAAATGGAGCAAAAAACGGGTATGAAGGTCATAAATCCCTTCACTCATATCCCGATTAAATCTCCTGATAATTACTTCATGGGTCTTTGCGCTTTTGGACTTTTAAAAAATGGATTATCCAAACGTCGACCTTCCTTGGACTTTGGAAAGCTATTCAAGAGAAATGGTATAAAATACCGCTTCCGATACTGCAAAAGGCTTTATTATATTGAAATTACAGGGTAGAAAGATAGTGAAGAATAAGGGTTATCAAATATCACTTTTAAAACACAAAAATTTTAGGTAAAACATTTATGTAAATGCAATGAAAATTGTCTGAAAAATGTGCGAACAGCTTTCGTATAATATAATGTGTATTAAACACGATTTAATTTAATAACGTTAAAATTAAGCAAGACAGATATTTAAGGGTTGAAAAATATGGCAAAAATTCAGCAAATTAACGCTGTGCAAATGGTATAGGTTTCATACGATAATTAATACGCTGATTATGTATTATTGTAATATACAGATAAAAATACAGTGAAGGAGTGATAAAAATAGTAACACTATTATATATATAATGTATAATATTGTACTGAATGAAATTATCAGGTTGAGAATTTTAAGAAACTGCAATTTGATGAACCAAACAACTGTATCAATAGTTTGCTTTTTACAAAATATGACGTAAGTAATTACAATCTCTAACCTAAGTAAAATGTAAGAAATTCGATGACCTCATATTAAAGTGTAGATCGAGGAAGTGATTTAGATAAACAATAAAGTTATTTGTATTGACTAGAATATTATAAATTAAATCAATGCATAAGGAGTACAAAAATTTGCAAATGATCTTGCTTATTTAGAAGCACACAATGCTAAAAATTACATGCAAAATCGATATAAATTGTCAACTAAAATACGCAGTTTTAGCTACTTTTGGTGATGCAGTGCTGTTATACATTTGGAGATGAATGATTTTCCAAAATTTCATAATACTGCCATTTAATGTCAAAAATTTTGCATTTGGCAATCACAAACTTGAAATTCATGCTTCTGAATTATGTTTACCTATATATTGGGACTAATTTTAACTGGAATCGTTCTTTTTGAATGTCCAGAATTAGCTATAGTGTTATAAAACCAGTTTGGAGTTTAAACTTGGAAGATCTTTCTTGTGAATAGTTAAGAAGATGTAATTATCCTCTAATTCTGATCAATCAAATAGAGACGTCATAAAGAAATTTCGAATAAATTTTCATTAATTAATTAATGAACTAACATTTGAAATGCCGTTTGTAATACTTCTGTGCCTATTTTCAAATCATAATTTAGTCACAACTTATGCTATCCTATTTCATTTTATTAAGTTAAAAACACTTTTAGCGAAGCATTTAAGATTTTCAAACACGACACTTTGATTTCAAGAAGCAATGCTTACTCATTTCTAGTATTCAGATAACCACCGAACCTCTCCTTATTTAATGTCGTTTAACAAAATAAATGTTTTCGTAATTTTTGCTTCTCTTTATTTTCTGCACATTATGAATATTTTTAAATAAGACTCTAAAAAACTGTGACTAATGGAATATGTTTCCTGAGTTCACGTTTTTAATGTTTATATTAAGAGTTAATGCATTTCTAATATAATAAATTAAGCATTTGGATATAAAATTTCAAAACATTTTTCGACTTCTTGTAAATATATTTCATTGCTTATTGTTATTTTTTTTTCTTCTGATATTAACATACGCTTATGCTAGCTAATGCATTGCAACTGCTAATAAGATATTAATAAAGTTACTACTTGTAGCTATTTGTGCTTCTATCTGATTTATTCATGAAATCACAGAACTCTGGGACTGAGTAGGAACTAACTCATATATTAAAGTTTTTGCAGGAAAACCTTACGTAATTCTAAAATCTAATCAAATTACAGTAACAATTGGAAGCCTGAAATTTTTAATTTCAGCATTGGAGAAAGTGACACTGAATAAATGAAACAATTACTTAAATGACACTTTCCGAAGCGTAATTTCGCGAACGGGCTGGCCGCATGGGTGTTTTCGTGGTTTTCTCCATGTGTAACGTGTATACGAGCCAGTTTCCCTTAGAAAGTCCTCCACGAAGGCATCCCTCCCCTTAGGCAGATAGCCCTTGTGTGCTTTGCCATAATTAAATACACCACACCACCGAAGCTTAATTAGCTTTCTCTTCATTTAATGTAATGTTCTAGTTAAAAAGAATGCATCTAATATCAGGTAATTAATAAGTTTAATAAATAAATCATAGCTTTTGATTTCATATAGATGAATTTCACCAGGAGGTGGGGTAGAAGTAGTCAATCATCGCACAGCGTACACACATTTTCTAAAATATTTATAGAAATGGACTTTCGCATAATCACGTGAAATTTTATTTAATTATAATTAAAAAATATTTTGATGAAGGGTTTAAAATACAGAGTTATTCATAAATTCATGAAATATTTTAGATATTTATAATAAATAAATTACTCAATCTTTATCAAATTCGATTAAAATGGAATAAAAGTAAACTTGCAAGTCTTTTTTTTTTTTTTTTTTTTTTTTACAGAATTTATAAATGCTGAATACATATTTTAAAAATGTCCATCTTTGTTGACACAATAGGGACATCAATAAGATAATTCGCTTCATCCAACACAAATGCGGTTTATCACGAACAATTAGAGCCATAAACCGCCCAATAACGGCCGAGCGGTAAAGTCACTGAGCACTGGTAGTTCGACCGAAGTTCGAATTTCTGGCTGCAAGTGTGTTTACGCGTTTTTCGCCATGTGTAACTTGGATGCTATCTGATTTGTTTAAAAAAGTCCTGTAAGAAGGCATTCCTCCTCTTAAGCAGATATCCATCATGTGCTTTGCCATAACCAAAGAAACCAAGACAGACTTAGAGCCACAAACTCAGTGATACTTTTATGATGACCCGGAGAGGAGGAGAAAAGGAAGTATGGTGTCTTTGACGAACCTTCACAAGTAAAATGCCCCTTGGAATAAATCCGAAAACCATGTTAGAGCTGCATTAATGCTTCGTTCCCTAATCCTGCGCGGCGTCATATCCAACTCAGCGGTAAATTTTAATTAAGATCTCATACCTATTTTTGTAGCAAATTTTGACAAGATATCCTCGCAAAAAATCTCAATAATGGTTTCTGTGGCACTTAGCCAAACAACTGTTTTGTTAAAAGCGGTAATCATCATTCTTCTTATTAAACGGTACAATGAAACAGCATGTATAAAAAATTCTCCCAGTGATGCGTAGATGTTTGTTGTTTCAGCGAAGCTGAACTTATTAAGCTTTTGCTAAATAAGTAAGAGAAACGTAATGAGTTTACTTCTATTTGATTGTAGTAAAAATTGGAGCTGTTTGCCAAGTTTATCTATTAAGGATTTAAAAAATATTTTCGCGGATTTAGGAATAACCCCGTGTTTTAGAATTGCTACTGATCTTTCATAAATTGTTAAACTCAAAGTTTTATTAGATTTTATTTAAATGTAAAAGTTTCTCAGCATTTAGGGGGTTAGAGAGTGGTAAATTAAAACTTCATCAACGATCACTTAGAGTTATTGAACTAATTTAAGTACTTTATTGTGTTCAATTTAGTAGCAATGAAAAAATGATTTTAACAAGTTAATAAAATTTAAACTGATGTTTAATATTACACACTATTAGCAGAAGTAAAAATTTTTTATATCGTTCTTATGAAGATATAATTTTTTTATTAAATTAAGTATATCTGAACAAAAGAGATGTAAATTTAAAATATTCAGTAAACACAATTCAAGAACCTTTCCAACCGACCGCTTTGTAACTTATTACAATAGTTGTTTGGGAAGCAATTGAAGGAAAAGAATTTCTAAAAATATTATAAGGAAAATATAACAGTTATTTTAATTAATCTATCAGATTTTGTGATAGAGGATTTCAGTAGATTTTCGGGTAACACGCATGAGCAGCTTCTGCATTTGTCGACATTTCACGGAGCGAAAACTGAAACAATGGATCATTCCTGGCTGAGAAGCGGGTAATATCGCTAGAAAAGACTCGCGTCGATTACTTTGTTTATTCTAGGTATAAAAATTCTCTAGACCTTTCGTACCAGAGAACCAACTAGCTACAAAAATTGGAAATGTCGCTCCTACAAAGATCTTTCTCGTCGTTTCGCCGGCGGAATCAAAATGATCGTCGGACAGAATCGACTTTCTTGGTTTTTTTCTTCTAAAAAAGAAAACAGAAACGAACTTCACACGCGTCGAGTATAAAAACAGTTCCCGTTTTCCTGTCGGGACATGTACAGTGTTCGGGATTAGCACCGTGAGAGAATTAGATCGGGAAGCGGGAGTCACGTGGTCAGAGCTGCAAACTACCAAGGGGGAAAAAAAAAAAAATCGCGGACTTATTTATAGCGTTCCGCTCTAAAAGAGGTTTGAAATTAACAATGCTTTGTAGAAAGTTCTCGCCAAAAGACGCGCCATATACATTTTTCAAAACACCAACAGTCGATAATGCTTCAAAGACTAGATTTCGATTCTTGAAACACAACAAAGAACAGGATTTTGTTCGGAGGCATATTTGTTGTCTATTTCACATCATTCCATTAGGGCGTTATATGAAATATTCGCAGAATAGAAATTTGCTGTCAGAAGCAGTTCTGTCATTGTAACACATATCATGTTCCCTAAGAGTTTTTCGATGCTCGTTAGGGATATCAAAAGTTCCATAAACATTCTTTAAAAGTATCCAGCTTATATATATATATAAATATACATATATTTTCATTTTCTCTAAGATATCATAGATCTATGATCTTCTCCAAAAAACTAAATCATCATTGTTTTATATAAATATCGAAAAACCAACCACAAACTTCAGTTCTGTACTTATTAAGCGGTGGGATAATGACATTCAGGCATATAATTCTAAACAAATAATATTGAAACATTTCTAAAATATTAAACTGAATATGAGAAGCAAATGCTTTAAAAACTTAAAGCCTCTACCTATATTATTTGACCGCTTCCGAAACTTCAAACCACGGCGTTGGGTGAATGACCGGAAACTCCCTCCCGGCTCCAAAATCCTGTCATAATATTGATTACAGTAACAGGAACGACTTAACGGTGAAAACTATCTCCGATAAAATTTACGTTCATTTGCTGAACCTGTCCGATAATCTTTTAGAAAAGGTGTAGATAATGGGCACAGCCGGCGTAAATGCGGATATTTTGTTCAATTTTCCTACATGGGCCGTACACAAAGTCAAAATTTATTTTAAAGAATATCTGTTTCAAAGATTTTGTTCGCGGGGCTCTGAGCACCCCCTTTACCGGGACTTGGAGAAGAGGAAGGTGATGTCTTGACTCCGGGAATAGGATTCGAGACTGAACCCGTGACGGCGAGGTGTTGCATGGATCCGGATGCGGCTGCCAGTGATAAAAGTCCTGCCTTGGACAAGATGTTGGACTCACTGCCAGTCTTCTTGAGGTCACCAGTTTTTGCACCAAAGCGGGCAAAAACTTGGCCTCTTTGGATCTGCTGCAAGCGCGTGTACTGTTCTTGGAGTTGTTTCTGCTTTCTTAACAACTCTTGGTGCCTCGCTTCTAAAAGCTCTTGTCTGTTCTTAGGGCCCTGAGAAGTCTTCTTCTGAGACGTGGAAGCGAAGACCTAAACATTAAAGAAACAAAACATAACATCTGTTTACCAAAAACTATTACTGAATTTTTAAAAAATTATGTGTGATTAAAGTTCCTTATGAAATAATATGTTTCCAAGTATTTTCAATAATATGATAGGAAGATACTAACTTTCAATTAATTTATTCATTCCAAAACAATTTTAAATGTACTGTAACTATTTTATATACTTTTTCTCTGAACGCCGCAATTAATATTGTTGTAAAGTTTGTAGACCTTTATATTTTATTTGCTTGAAATTTAAGTTTTATGCATTTTTGCAGTGTTACGTATTGTTTTCATTTATTTATATGCTGCAATTCACATAAAAAATTTGTTGTGTATTTTTGTGTAATCGGAATTTTGGCCATTCATTATCTTGTATTATTGTTTTCTAATTTCGAATCGACTGATATTTGAATTGTAAGAAAAGTTCAGTTAAAGTAACACATATGGGCAGAAACCCCTCCTATTAGTTCTAGCGACAAGTTTGTCGTTAAATATTTCGTTATCTTGGCATCATTCTGGAAATGATCAGATAAGCATTTTCGAAGTCCTAAGAGAGATTTTTCTTGAAACTTGCACAAGTGTTTATCCTGCCTTTTGAGAAAAAGTATAAATGTGGGCTTCGTTGGAGCCACAAGTCTTAGTTCAGTGTCTGCGACACTTTTCTTAGAAAGCGCCTCGCCTGGTGACTGCTTTTTTACTTTAGACATTGTGAATGATTATGATACCATTACACGCCGAACAAGTACTAATTTAGAAGTCAAACAACAAAAATCAGCGTTATATTTTTAAATTTTCACAGGACTAGTTTCGATGGTTTTACCGAACCATCATCCTCAGCTGCAAAAGCGCAAATGAACGAGATAAGATATAGTGATTAGATGAGAAACATAAGAAAGAACGGACAACTGTCAAGCTACTGGCGTCATCTGTTGATGAAACCTGAACTAAAACATAATTTCTTTAAAGGCTGAAGGCAAAGATGGATTGGAATTAGGGTCGTTAACTACAACAGAAAGATTTTTTTGAATGTGAAATGCCTCTAGAAAATCCGTTTCACCAATGGAAGATGTTTTTTGAATAATTTTGGCTGCAGAAAAATTGAAAGTGGGATTTTTGGGCCAACAATGCTGGACAACAGAAGACCTCTGTGTTTCCGTTTTTCTAACATATGCCTCATTTTCCTCAACGCGAAATTTTAAGGCTCTCTTAGTTTGACCAATGTAAATTAAACCACACTGGCAAGGAATCCTGTAAATACCTCAGGAATTCAAATCCGGAATGGGGACATTGAGTATGGAACTCGGAATTTTATTGATGGAAGAATAAACGACCCGAAAGTTACATTTCTGTAAAATGCGTGTAATTTTATAGCTAATTGATGTATAATCTCCTAAAACAAGAGTGTGCCTTTTGGTGTGTTGAGATGAGAATTTTCAACTGCGTGATTAATAATGTTGTGTGAAAAGCCCCTGTCAATAATAAAATGAAGCTAACTTTCGTTTAGTCGGATGACATGATTTGAAGCGTGGTGGAAGGCAAACTGATGAAGGTTTACGGTAAATCGAAGTACTGAAGTTGGATTTGTTACGTGTGACCAAAATGTCGAGAAACGGAAGAGAATTGCAAGTCTCAAGTTCAGAGGTGAACTGAATAGCAGGATGAATGGAATTCATTGTTGAAAGAACTTTATTTAAATCATCTTTATTACCTTCAAAGAGTAAAAGTATCGTCTACGTAGCGGAACCATGCCGAAAAGTTTAAAGTTTCAAACAATTTTGATTCATAATAATGCATGTAGATATCAGCCAGGATGGTACTGAGGGAGCTTCCATGGCTAATCCCTCAGTTTTCTTGTAATATTTATTTTGGAAAACAAAATGCGTTTGTTTCAAACAGAGTTGAGTGAGGGAAGTTAGCTCATCAATCTCGATGCAAGAGAAATGAAATTCGCGAAGTCTGGTTTCTAGACATCGTAATGTACCCTCCCCTGAACATTGGTGAATAACGATTTTACAACAAAAGAAACCATGAGTAAATTCCAGGAGAAATGTTTTTAACTTTTTTTTTACAAACTCTATTGAATTTTTTATGGTGTAAATGTTACTATCTAATAGAGTTGAAAATCTAGAAACTAAATATTTAGCTAACGGATACGACGGCAGTGCGTAAATTTTATACAATAGGGCGGAAAGGAATACCACTTTTATGAATTTTGGGAAGAGCATAAAATCTGGCACAATTCACAACAGATGGGATAAGCGACTGTTTTAAGTTGCTTGAAAGGATTTGTGAAGATTTGATCGCAGCTTTTATTTTTGACAGGTCCGAAGGTGAAGGATCTTTAGGGATCGGATTATATGGTCCTTTGTTTAAGAGTTTAGTGACGCCCATCTGTGTAAGTGGTTAATCCATGACGACTATCTGGCCACCTTTGTCAGCTTTTGAAATGATCATATCCGAGTTAGAATGAATTTCGCGCATTGCAGCTCTTTTTCTCGCGTTTAGATTTGTTTCAAAGGCTTGTTATTGAATTTCACATTATGAGCGATAAGATGACTAATCATTTCTTTCTGTGGATCAGAAACTTTACTGAACTTGAAAGCTTTTTCGATAGGAGCCAAAATCTTTGGAATCGAGGGTTTGAAGTTTGTGAGAAGTTAAAATTATATTTTAGAATTCGCTGTTGTTCTTCTGATAAAGTAATACTAGAAATATTAACTGTTGGTTTAATGTTTACAATGGGAAGATTTTTTGAACTACTTAAGGTCTAGAACTGAGAATACAATTAACCGTCGAAAAAACACCCTTGCAGTTAAATTCGAAAAACTTATTTTACAGTCTTCCAATTTAAGTAGTTTAAAAAATCTTCCCATTGTAAACATTAAGCCAATAGTAACCCTCGATAAATTTAATCATTTTGTCTTCATGCCATACGGTTTACGTACAATAAATATCTTTTTTGTATTTACTTTTCTTCACGGTGTTGCAATTTTGATGGCCAACAGTGTACTTCAATAAAATTTCGATTTCCTCATGTTTGTTTGGCGTAGTTATGAAGATTTCTGAGAACCCGTAACACACAACTGGATAGCTTAATGCTTGAGATAGAAGAATGGGTGAAAGTTAATTTGGGCTGTAATACTTGAATATGAATAAACTGATAAAACCTCATTTCTCATTTTAAGGACAGAACAGTATGCATTCTCCGGAAGCAGAAAATTGCAATCGGACGAATGCGCAGTTTTTTCCATCTCTGTCTTTATAGCTAAAATAAGTATTGTGCTTAGTAGATGTAAGAATTTATTATTCTTTCAGTTTTATGTCAGTTGTTAATGTATAAAGTCTCTTGAACTCCTAATTTCTTTAAGCCGCCGCTCGAGTGGGATTAGCAGCAAAAGGTCATTTTAAAGAAATTTATAATACAATATTTTAAACAGAGTCTTTTAGGCATTCAAAGCAGTATAATACTTATTTCCAGAAGAGAAAGTAAATTCAAAGAAAAATAAACTGAATTATCTTAATTTTAATAAATGCTGAACTCAATTTGTTGGTGCATAAATAAGTGCTGAACTATTATGTGTTGAAACCTACCTAAGCTTGATTTTTACTTTTCAGAACTGACGAAATAATAATTTACTTTATTAGCATTTGGTCATCTATGAAAAATAAAATCAAAGTGGATTAGTTGATGCTATTCTTTTTTTGTTTCCAAACAGAGAAAGCATAATATATTGGTTGCTTTGTCATCTGTTGATTTCTATTAAGCAAATTTAAATTTCTATTAAGAAAAAAAGCATCTTTATGTTGGCGTAGATTGTGAATAAAAATTTGGAACTTTGGAACTTTGCGGTTATACTGACTTTCAGCAGGAAATTAAAATCCTGCTCTTGCCAGTTCCTGATGTGATCCCATGTGGGGCCTGGCAGAGTAGAAACCTGAAAGAAATTTTCTCTCTTGGAGGTAGAAGTGTGCTGGAGAGAGAGAAAGAGAAAAAGAAGCACTTTGCTCCTGTACTGCTACATCTTGGATGGAATCCGCCAAGCAGGGGCCGGAGATAGAAGCTTCGGATGACCTGTGTAGGATAGCCCGAATACTAACTGTAGTCGTCGGAACCAGTCACGTGGGAGGTCACCCTCCCAGAAACTGACCCCGATTGATGCTGCTTGAAAACCAGAAAACTGGAACTCAGAATTCTGAACTCAAGAGATGGGCGGCGAATGGGCGGAGGTTTTTGTCTTCAGCCAGGATTTCGTAGATAAGAATGTCCGTAAAATTAGCGGGATTCACATTGATAATATTATTAAAAAAGTTGTTGTTTATTCTGCTGAGGTAGTCCTGAATAGTATCTATTTTCAAGTCCGAGTGGAGGGTCTTATTCCGAACATAGTAAGGAGCTTTTGTGATGATTCTTAGCACCTTATTTTGAAGCACTTGGAGTTTGCTAATTTCGTTTGCTTTGTAGTTTGCCCAGGCTGGGGAAGCATACGTGAGAATGGGTCGAATTACAGTTTCATAAATCCTCTTTTTCAGTCTGAGGGTGAGGTTTTCATTCTTTAGGAGAGGGAAAAGCCTGAAAATGATTCCGTGTGCTTTTCCGCTTACTCTAAGCATATGATCCTTCCAATTGTAGTTCTTGTTAAGGGTAACTCCCAGGTAATTAGCTTTATCAACTGTAGGGATGATTTTGCCAAAACGTTTAACCTCAGTTCTGACCCGTTTCCTCTGTCTGCGATTTCGAATGAGTAGAATCTTGGACTTTTCTGGCTGAATGGGTGTTTTCCAGCGACTGCACCACCCCTCAATAGCAGCGATTTTGGCCTGAATTCTTGACAAGGCATACTCTGGGTTTAGAGACTTGGTGGCTATCGCTGTATCATCAGCGTAGCTGGCTGCGAGAACATTTGTATCCTCTGAAAAGCATGGGAAATCGTTGGCATAGATGATGTAAAAAAGCGGGCCTAAAATTGACCCTTGAGGAATACCTGCGTAAATATTTTTCATACATGAAGTTGCATTTCCAACTCTAACGGTGCAAGTTCTATTTTCAAGGAAGGACTTGATAATGAGTATCAGATTTCTGGGGATACCGAGATGAATTAGCTTATAGATTAGCCCTGGATGCCAGACGCAGTCAAAAGCGAATAAAAATTTAAAATCTATGCCAAATTATGTTTGCTTAATTTTAATTTTTATTTTGGTGTTTTTCTCTTCCAATTATAACCGTTAATATTATTTTAATTTTTCCCATTTTATTTCAAAGTTTAAACCTTAGCGATTTCATTTTATTGGAAAAAAATCATGGCGCATTTAGAATCCGAATTATTGGAGCATTCTTTTATTCCAGTCCTTAAAGTAATTACTAACAAACCAGAAGGCCCACAGTTTGATACCAGCCACGAAAATGATGGCACTTCCAATGCTCATAGAGAGATGGCGTCAATGCAGTAACTTATTATGAATATTGCGCATGGCGTTTTGCAATAAGTTGGTTATAATTGTAGTTATTTAACTGTTCTTGTGAAGCTCTACTCCCTTCCTTCAGATCTTAAAGCATCAGGGATTGTTCGTACTCTTTTTAACTCATCAGGATTCCAACATATGCCTTTTAGCGTTCCGAACTCATCTCACCAACAACAGTTATAACCAAAATGTAGGGTTGATAAACACGCCTCTCAGCACAAAAGGCTCATTCACGCTATAGCTGCGCTTTCATAATATCGTATTGTGGTCTGGAGAAAAACTAATGCAACTGTCTCTCTGCTCAGAGAAAACTGTTTATAGGATCCGGACTTAAAATATGCTTTTAACCCTGTAAAGCGAATTGCAACAATGTGAATACTTTCGAGTAATCTGTTAAAAGCAAGTAACTGTTACTGAAAATGCAGTGAACTTTTACTAGGGGGAGCAGTTCAGTAAATATTTGAAACTGAGTTAGGGAAAAAAGAAATGAAGACATTTTAATCTAATTAGATAATGATATTAACATGTGTTCGTCTCTTTTTAAGTAAGATACGATTTCTATAAACCTCTGGTAATTTTCAAGCTCATTAAAGCATTGCTTTCATTAGAAGACTCCACTTTAAAAAAGCTTATCTCAATGCTCAGTTAGTGGTAGTATACCAAAAAATGTTGAATACTAGATATTATTGTCTGTGCTATTTTGCTGACATGACTCTTGCACTTGTAAAAAATTAAAATATTTGATTCAGAAAATCTAATTTAATTTAAAACTTACCTCATCCTGCAGCTCGTTTCTGAGTTGCTGTGAAACCTTTCTTTGCTCGGCTTTCGCAGCTTGCAATGCCATTTGGAGTCCTTCCTGCGAGTTGACGCTCTCACTGCTGCTGCTGTTGCTGGAGAGTTGGTCTCTGGGTGGTGGTTCATCAGTAAGTGCTGAGGTTCGTACGATGACTTCCTTGGAAGCAGACGGCGCTGAGGAAGAAGATGCGGCAGAAGGGGGATCAGGACGTTCACGAGATGATGCTCGCGTTGAAGCTGTCTGTCTAAGAGTAGGGTGTGATGAACCCCTAGGCGTGGGAACAGAGCTGCTGCGCTGAGGAGGAGCACTGCGCGTTGCAAGGGCGGAGCGCAAGGGCGTAGGCTTTGTCGTTGTCGCCGTCTCGGTAGGCGATGTGACGGGGGAACGGCTGGTTGTACGGGGCGGAGGTGGAGGGGGTACTTTCTTGGCCACTGCTTCCGGGGCGCTCTTCACAGCCAGCTGTGAAGTCGGTGAGGGCCTTCTCTCTTGAGGCGTCGGTGACAGGCTTTTAGTGACAGGAGTAACCTGTAAGGTCTTTGCGCCCGGGTCAAGAGCAGTGGGAGAGCGCGCCTGGGGCATGCCGTGTATGGGGGAACGGACTGGGGAGTCCGCACTAGGATAGGAGGGTAGCCGCCTCTGCGGCCCAAGTAAACCCGGTATGTTGTCTCGCTGTGTCGTCTTCTGCTCGGCTGGCAGGTTAAAGGTTTGCAATTCGCTCAGCAGGGCGTCCAGCGCCGTCTGCTGTTTGGTGTGTCCATCAGGTGGTACATGGATCACTGTGTGCGTGCCTCCATCCAGGCTGTGGCTCTGCAAAGGATTCAAGGAGGACGTCACCCTTCCCCGCGGCTGCACGAGGATAAGAAATAATTAAATCGAGGACATTGCCAACGCTGCATGATGCACTGAATGCGTCCATATGATATTTATCTGAGTTTTGTCTCTCTTCAGCTGCTACAATTCGATGAGCTCAGCTATGTCAAAATTAATCAAACGATTCGATTTGAGTCTACGGAATAAATTGAAACTATCTAGATGAACCTGGTTCTTTTACCTGAAAAGCACGGGTACTTAAAACTCTTATGCAACTGAATTGCGAATCTTTCAACAATCTTTCATTTTGTTAATATAGCTTTATTTCAAAAAATAAGTTTTTGTTTAAATGAAATTAATTTTTAAATCCATTCATCGTATAACTGCAGTGAAAAATTAAAAGTAATATAAAAAATTCTTCATAGTCTCTTTGGGGTGTTAATTTTTTCCTTATTTGCTGAGAATTTATGGAATTTAAGGAAATGGAGAAAAGCGCAAGCTAGGAGAAACGCAAAAGCAATGGCAATTTAGAATGTATTTAAAAGTCCAATACGTAATTTCACTGAATTCCGTTTTCGCAGTCTGATTCTGTTTTCGCAGCCAGGTTCTTTCGAAGAATATTTTTATATTTTATTTTTCTAAATCAGTATGGAAAGTTTGCAAATATCAGTTTTGTTATAAAGCAACAAATTCATCCCTTTTCCGCCCATTTCTCCACCTCGGAGCTAAAATCTAATATTAATGAAATATAAAATTGTGTTTAGTTTTTCTAGTACACATAGGTTACCTTTGCATCGACTAAACAACATTTTGCAGATCTGTTATAAAATTGAAACTTATTTTATTGCAAAAGATTTAAATATTTAATTATCATAGTAAATGTTTGGTTCTGATGATAGTTTACTATGTACAAAGGGTACTGTTATCGCTACAAAAATGTCTCCCATATAACACATAATTAAAAATGCACATTTCCCTTAAAAATGTCATAAGTGCTATGGTGTCATCATTACTGAAAGATAAATATTTTATCATTTGCTATGACGGATCAGTTCCCAGCTTTTATTCATTGTTTATGACTTGAATTTGAATTTCTTAAATTTTAACATAGCATACCTTAGATCCTTAGATGGCGTGTAACGTCTCATGTTTCATAGCAGTGATCTTTTATTTATGGTAGTGGTCATTGTTTATGACTTGAATTTGAATTTCTTAAATTTTAACATAGCATATCTTAGATCCTTAGATGGCGTGTAACGTCTCATGTTTCATAGCAGTGATCTTTTATTTATGGTAGTTTGCCATATCTCTCAATAAGCATCTATTCTCCAGAATTTCATGTATAATTTTCATATGACTTAGAGGACAACATGAAGATATCATATGACATTAAATTTACATTGAAAACCGCAGATTGAAAGTTTTAATTTTTGTCTTTTTTATGTGTTAGTATTATTTTGTTTTACTGATAGTTAACGAAAATTTGAGCCATGAAACTTATGCTAAATTAAAGTTTCTAAGTATTTTGCCATTGCTTCATGCAAAAATTGTAAAACAAAATCAGAATTTTGGGATTTAATTTACTTGATTTTTTTTTGTTCAATAATCTCCATTTCCTTCAAAAAATATATTAATTCTTATGAAAGAAGTTTACTCGCAAGAGGGCTCACAGTATTGTATATTTGTATATTTCTCTTTTAGGAGCTGCAGTAAATTGCTTTATATTTTGAATGAGTTAAAACAGTTTTAGCATTTTATTTGCATTACGACATTCCCTGCTTTTATGTTAATATTTAGGTTACCATGCAACCTGGTAGGCTTTACAATTAAACTTTATGTTACAAAATTCTTTAAAAACTCCGTAATTTCAGTTATATTTGAATAAAATTGCATTAAAAAAGTTCGTTTCAAAATTCACTGATGTAACAGATTCAGCCGTTGACTTCGAGTGCAGTAGAACTCCAGATATGGGAGACGGTAATTATCTGAATAACTTATTTTTAAGCAAAATTTAAATTCTCTTTATTTTATTCACGTGTTTTCAACTGATTTATTAATTTAATAATACAAAAATATAGTAAAATATATTTTATACATCAGCGATAAAATTCTTTCACTATGCATTGCAATATATGCATATTTGCCTCACAGGAAAAGTAATCTAATCCTCTAGATGGTATATGGTCTCAGTTAATTTAAATATAGGAAATTCTACTGTAAATCTGGCTGTTAAAACTAAATCCTATTAAAATTATTGAAATGTATTTAGTATAAAAGGGGTGGCCAAGTTCCTTGATAGTACGAGCCGTTTTTCAAAATTTGAAATTTTTCGCGAGCCGCAATTGAATACGTATTTAAAAGATATGTATTATTGAAAACATATAAATAAAAGTATAAAATATGTGTACTGAATTTAAAATATTATAAATTAAACACATTTGTTTTACTTTTCTTGATAATTTTTTTAAATTTGGTGAATAATTGGTGACAGCACTTCTCAGTAATTCTTTGAGATGCTGGTTAGTTAATACTGATCAGTTTTTGGATTTCACGAATTTTAAAGTGGAATAAAATGATTCATATATGTACGTTGTTCCGAATATTGAAATAATTCGACAGGCAGACTTTTTTAATTCGGCATACTTTGATTCTGGTACAAATTTCCAAAATTCAGTAATCGGAGTCGACTTATATTTTAATTGTAGAGCTTGATCTTCTTGCATGTCTATTAATTTTAATTCTCCAGATGCTTTTCGGATCATAACTATATTGGAAATGGAAAACTCACCTTGAATTATGTTAACTTCAAATGGATTCAGAAAAAAAATCAAGAGACGATTTAAAATATTTCAAGTCTTGAAATCTATTTTGGAATTCCGTTAATATTCCTTCTAGCTTTTTTACATACTCGTTGAGTTTTTCTTCTTTAATATAGGAACAAACTTTTTTAATTCGAGGAAAATGACAAAATGTTTTATTTTTAATGTCCTTTTGAAAAAGTTATAATTTAGTTTGAAAACTGAATATACACTGTGAGAATTCAGATATTATTTTATCTTTTCCCTGCAATTGTAAATTCAGTGTTTGCAAATGTTCCATGACGTAAGTCAAAAACATTAAGTCTTGTAACCACTCGCCATTGCTTAATTCTGAACAGGTTATTTCCTTTTCTTTTAGAAATACAGTTATCGCATTAAACAAATATACAAATCGATTTAATACGTTCTATCTTGATAACCATCTAACAATGGAAAAGAAATTAATGTTATTTGGAAGTTCGTCCTTTAATTCTTCAAGGTACTTGTTGATTTGTCGATGATTTTTTGCATTGATGCGAATGTAGTTTACAATATGTAACCCTGTTTTCATAACGTCAGGATATTTTAAATATTTTGTAACGAGATGTTCTCGGTGAATTATGCAGTGAATCGGCATGAATTGTGGAATTTGAGGATCATCTCTTAAAAGCCCAATAAGACCGATTTTTTTTTTTACCCAGCATTGGAGCTCCATCAGTTGCAATGCTAACGAGTTTATTAAGAGGCACTACAAAAGTTTACATTATGGAATTTAATTCATTTTTAGTACCGACACCGCGGGGTGACTCTTGAAGTGCTACTGAATCTAATAATTCTTCTTTAACAACGAAGTCAGGTGAAACAAAACGTATGAAAACTGCCAGTTGAGGAAGATCTGTGATATCTGTCGATTCATAAGCTGAATGTAATACAGTTCTTCAAATCATTTAAAAATTATATTCAAGAGATGTATTAATTGCAGTTATGCGTCGTTTGGTTGTGTGTCTCGAGATGGGAATTTGCGAAACAACTTTGTGCAGTGCTGTATTATTTGGATTTAAAACTTTAAGTACATCTTCCAAGTTTTTTTTAAATAAACTCTCCCTCTCCATGCGGGCGTTTTGCACGAGCAATATTCCAGGCAATAACAAAACTGGCTTCAGCCACATGATTAGCTTGAATGTTAAAGGTAATCAAAACTGACTGTTGTGTATTTAAATTTGATTTTAAAGAAGCAAGTTTATCTGATCTTAATTTGGAATTTGCTGGATACTAATTAGAAACCTGAGGATGATTGGTTTCATAATGTCGAAGTCAATTGCTAGCTTTATAAATTTCGACCGTAGAATTACAAATAACACATAATGATTTTCCGTTATTGTCAATAAAAAAGAAATTCTCCTCCCAATCAGTATTAAAACTTCTATTTTCTTGCTTGTATTTTCTTTTTTTTAATTTTCGTTCTCTATCGTCATATTTTTAAAAGAAATGGAAATAAATAAAGAAATTTAGAAAAATACAAATTTTGTGTTATTAAAACAATAAAAGCACGTGTTACATACTACAAATAAATTCACGTCTCATAATTCACGAGGCAGTCGAAGGGGAAGAAAATCCGATGAACGGAACTGTTACGCCACTGTTTATGTTCGTTTGCGCAGTTTTCGATGAGTTACGTCATTCTTAGTGTGTATACGTGTGATTATGGCAGAGCCTCGAGGGCTATCTGCCTAAGAGGAGGGATGCCTTCGTGGAGGACTTTCTAAGGGAAACTGGCTCGTATACACGTTACACATGGGGAAAACCACAAAAACACCCATGCAGCCAGCCTGTTCGCGGGATTTAAACCTCGGATCGAACTACCAGTGTTCAGCGACTTTACCGCTCGGCCGCTGGTGGGCCTACATCATTCTTAACTTGAACGGAAATGAAATTTGTTACAACGTTGCACTTAGTCTTTCATATTTGTTGTCAGTAATTTAAAAGACATTTTGAAACACATACAGAACGATAATAATCTTTTAAAATATAATAACACAAAAATGAAAAGGGAACTCGGTATATTTATCGAGAGCCACAAATAATCCTTCAAAGAGCCGTATGCGGCTCGCGAGCCGCAGGTTGGCCACCCATGTAGTATAACATCGATTACTTCAAATTTTAGTTTCATTGCTTTGAACAAAATACAGATCCTAGATTTTAACGTATTTTAAAATAAAAGGAAAATATCTTTTTTCT